ACAATACAATAAAAAAATATAAATTAAAAAAATACTAATTACGTATTTGTACAGTATTTACATTGTATTGGGCGTTATAAGAAATCTAGAGATGGGGCCGGCCCGGTGGCGCACTGCTACAGTGCGCCGCTTGGGAGCGCGGCGGTGCTCCCGCTGAGGGTTCGGATCCCACATACAGACCGGTTCCCGCTCACTCGCTGAGCGAGGTGCGGGTGCAGCACCGAGGGTTGCGATCCCGTTGCCGGTCCTGGTCCGGTATGGGCGCGACACTGAGGGTTGCGATCCGTTGCCGGACACGAAAAAAGACAAAAAGGAAAAAAAAAAAAAGAAATCTAGAGATGATTTAAAGTATATTGGAGGTTGTGTGTAGGTTACATGCAAATACAAGGGTACCTCAAAAAGTTCATAGAAGGCTTGCTGGTTAGCTCAGTTGGTTAGAGTGCAGCCTTATGACATAAAGGTCATGGATTTGGATCTCTGTACTGGCCAGCCACCCCCCAAAAAAACAAAAAAAGTTTGTGGAAATATTCATATTATCTTTTAATCCTATTTTTCCATAAACTTTTTGAAGTATCTTCATACTATGCCATTTTATATAAGGGACTTTAGCATCTGCAGATTTTGGTATCCTTGGGGGTCCTAGAACCAATCTCCCAATGGATACCGAGGGATAACTGTTATATTGCCATAGTTTACATTCCAGTGTATAAGCAACTTCCAGCCAGTCTGGGTAAAAACACATTCCCTACTAGATGTAGCTATGGGAATGAAGGAATGTCCCACTGTGAAAACTACCTCACACAGCAAAATGAACTGGAAAAATCTGAGTAAGTGGGAGCTAGAAAATGCTTTTTTATTGTATTCACAAACTCTCATGCTGAATTTAAATTCCATGAGCATGACTGTTTCTGTGTTTGGAGGCATGATTTGGGTGGAAGAGGGGAGGATATTGGACAGCCCATGCTCAGTTCAGAAGCCAGTCCCTCAAAGATCACTAATAAATTATGATTCTTGTTTCGAACAAAGAATTTGAGTTTGAAAGCAAAATTAACATTAAATAAGGTATGTCTTATTATAGCTAGCTAGTAATAAAGGATATCTCTTGTGGAAAAATTAACATTAAATAAGGTATGTCTTATTATAGCTAGCTAGTAATAAAGGATATCTCTTGTAGAATGGGGGAGAGAGAGAGAGAGAGAGAGAGAGAGAGGGAGAGAGAGAGAGAGATAACGTGAATGTGTTTATGTGAGTATGTGCTCAGTCCTAGGCATAATGTGAGTATGAGCTTGGCCTAAGTAAGAGAAAAATTGGTTCAGGGTTACAAAGAATTGATGGCATACAATCAGAAATATTTTTTTACAAGAACCCTATTTGAATATTTTAAACAATCCCCTATTTTTAACTTACTTTAACTCAGTATAGAAAAGATTAACTGATGATAAATATGAAAGATATCGCCTTAATACTAATTCCTAAATTAAGAACATACACTCAACATACTAAATTCAGAACATCTGAAATTTTCAGGGGCTAGGATGAAATTTACTTTTGCTCTAAAATTCACCTTTGGTTTCCACGAAAGGATTTACTAATCAAACCAGTAACGTAATCAAGGCTATAGGAGGAAAATCAAAACAATGCCCCCCCCCATACCCAAAACTCAACTGTTTCAGAAAATAAATTACTTTAAAAAAAATTTCCAGGAAGCTAGGGCCGGCCTGTGGCTCACTTGGGAGAGTGCGGTGCTGATAACACCAAGGCCACGGGTTCGGATCCTATATAGGGATGACCAGTTAGCTCACTTGGGAGAGCGTGGTGCTGACAGCACCAAGTCAAAGGTTAAGATCCCCTTACTGGTCATCTTTAATAAACAAACAAACAAACAAACAAATAAATAAATAAAAATAAAAAATGTCCAGGAAGTTAAACTTGACTGATTAAACACACCTATTTATCTATAGAGAGAGGATAACACCTACGAAGGCAAAGAGAACAGGAGAGGCAGCATCAGAGAATGGGGTGCCAGCTCACCTTGCAGGTGCTGTCTTTGGAGAGGAAAAGGAGGGAGAAGAGTGCCAAAGAACTTTGCACAGAGGAGGAAACAGAAATCTTAAGCAAAAGGCTGATTCACCTGACAGAGCCTTGCAAAGTCTCAGTAAATACCACGCCCTAGATTCCTGAAAGGAGCAAGTGAAAAGGGCTGGGGCTATGTCAACAGGAGGAAAGGCTGTACTAGGATCCCTACCCCCATCTCTGGGAAGCCAGGATATCAGCATTCTCCTCAGCCAGCAGGAGCTGGACAGGAGGTTTGGTCTCTGGAGAAAGTGATCCTCTCACGGAGGCCATGGACTTAGAGGAACCAGGTACCATGGTGGAGAGTGAGAGCGAGGCAATATGAACTAATGTGTGCAAGTAGGCGTCCCCTACATACTAAGAAGTGCAGCTTCCAGCTTCCTTCTACCAACCTGTACTCAGAGCACCAGCACTCAGGCTTATATCCCCCAAGTTGCAAATGAGAAAATCAATCTCTAAAAAAAACAAATCCTTACAGCTAATATCATACTTAATGTTGAAAGACTGAAAGCTTTCCCCTTGAGATTGGGAATAAGACAAAGAAGTCAGCTCTGACAACCTTTATTTATCATTGTACTAAAGGCCCTACCCAGTACAATAAATCAAAAGAAAGAAAAAATTTGCACGGTCCCTTAGAGAGGGAGAAATAGAATTGCTTTTATTTGCATATATGTTTGTCTAAACAAAAAATACCAAATAAACTACAAAAAGTTATTAGAATAAGTGAATTTAGTAAGGTCCAAGGATACTAGGTCAAAATATAAAACTCAACTATATTTCTTTATATTAGCAATGAATGGATGGAAACTGAACCTTAAAATATGACTTATAGTATCATCAAAAGGCAAAATATTTAGAGACAACTCTAATAAAGCACATGCAAAATTTGTATGCTGAAAACACTGATGAGAGAAATCAAAAAAAGCCTGAACATAGTTAAGATGCTAATTCTTTCCCAAATTTTGATCTACAGATTCAACATGATCCCAATTAAAGGGTAAGCAGGCTTTTTGTAGAAATCAACAAACTCAAAAATTTCTGTGGAAAAGTAAAGGACTTGGGATAAATTCTTTTAAAAAAGAACAAGACTGAAGGATACACTATCTGATTTCAAAACTCACTATAAAGCTACAGTAATCAAGATAGTATGGTCCTTGTGAAAAGATAGACATATAGATCAAAGGAATATAATAGATTTCAGAAATAGATCCACATACATTTGGCCAAATGATTTTTTTTTCCCCCTTTTTTTGTCTTTTTTCGTGTCTGGCAACGGATCGCAACCCTCAGTGTCGCACCCGTACCGGACCGGGACCGGCAACGGGATCGCAACCCTCGGTGTTGCGCCCACACCTCGCTCAGCCAGTGAGCGGGAACCGGTCTGTACGTGGGATCCGAACCCTCGGCAGGAGCGCCACCGCGCTCTCAAGCGGCGCACTGTAGTGGTGCGCCACCGGGCCGGCCCTTGGCCAAATGATTTTGACAAAGGGGTTAAAGTAATTCAGTAGAGAAATAATAGTCTTTTCAAAAAATGGTGCTAGAACAACTGGACACTTACATACAAAAAATGAACTTGTACCCATGCCTCATACCATATATAAAAATTAACTTGAAATAGATCATATACCTAAACATAAAACTGAAAATCACAAAACTGCCAGAAGAAAATATGAGAGAATATTTATAATCTAAGTTTAGGCAAAGATTTCTTATGTAGACATAAAAAGCATAAGCCACAAAGAAACTGAATCAGCCTCAGATAAAAGATATAAAATTACAAAGCCAGCTTCTCACCTCATCACCCTACACAGAAAAACCATCAATAAGAACTGCTTCCTCACCCAGAGCTTCTCACCACTTTTTAGTTCATTCTTATGGCCAATAAGAGCAAAACATTTGAAGAAAGCTTCTAACATCAGAGACAAAAACCAAAACAGAAAAAAACAAACTGATCAAATAGAAACAAAAGTAGGGAGTGGAGGAAAAATTTAAACACTACAGCCAGTCCTTGCTTTGCATGTAGTGGAGGACCATAAAAATGTCTAGACAAGCTGAAAAGGTGCAAAGCAATCTTAATGATCAACATAAAAATGGATTTTTCTGTGACCTTTAACATTTTTTGGCAAAGAATTACAAAGTCTATTATTACAGGTTAAAAAAAATTTTTTAAAGTAAAACCATGGCTTTAGTACACGACAATTTAAAACATTAGAAACTATTAAGAATTGGTGTTTTATTTCTCTGTAAAAAACTTATGTACACATGATGATACAGATAAGTGATTAAATAAATAAATGGGGAGAAGAGACAAATCTTTTGTTCAGAAGAATTCCAAATAATTTATGTAGATATTCCTCCCTCAAGGAGGTGAATTCCCCTCCCCTTAAGTGTAGGCTGTGTACAGTGACTTCCTTTCAAAGACTACAGTGTGAAAAGGGGGAAAATAGTAACTTCACAGTAAGGAAACCTGACAAACACTGCCTCATCCAGGTGATGACAGTGAATGTCAAAAGTGAAAGGTCATGTCGACAGAATGTAGCCTTGATATGAAGTGATAAAAATTGAACTTTACCTCTGTGGTCTTCCAGCCAAAAACCCATAACATAGTCTAACCAGTAGAAAAACATCAGACAAACTCAAATTGAAGGACATTCTATGGAATATCTGACCAGAACTCCTCAAAACTATCAAGATCATCAAAAACAAGAAAAATTTGAGAAATTGTCACAGTCTAGAAGAGCCTAAGAAGACATGATGACAAAAGGTAATTTAGTATCTTAGATGGGATCCTGGAACTGAAACAGAAAAAAGACATTAGATAAAAACTAAGGAAACCAGAATAAAGTATGAGCTTTCTCAAAAGAAACAAGGAAAGCTATTGCTGAGTACAACTCTGCCCTTTTGAACCAACAGCTAAGAGTTCTTACCTATTGCTGTGGTAATAGTTATTCTGCAGAGTGTAGGCTATGCACTGAGTGTTTAATCGCTTTCTTCCAACCTCCTTCCAATTATCTTCTGTCCACTTTCTCTTGATCTGCTTCTCTTCCTGTTTTTTTCCCACATATTCAGCATAGGTCTGGATCCGGTAGCTTTCTGCATATCTACTGGTATTGACAGCTGCAAGGAAAAGAAAAAAATCCTTATGAAAGTGTGGCCTAGCTCCAAAGATGTCTCCTTTGAAAGGTGGCCTGAGGTAGTCAAAGGAGCCCTGGGTTCAGATTTGATCTCTGACCCTGGCTCTGCCACTTAGAAGACCAGTGACTTTGGGCATATCCCAAAAACTCTCCAACTCTGAGTTTCCTCATCTAGAGAAGAGTCACTGCTCCCCAACCTCCCTTACAATGTGAAAGTGCTTTGTATACTGTTAAGAATCATAATGATGTAAGTAAAACACTAGTTTTCAAAATATTTGCAGCTAAAATTACTGTTTGAAAAGTATTATTTCAGAGTAAGAAAAGGAAAATAAACAAAACCACTAAGGAAAAACTGTAAACCATCACTAGAGTCTGTTAAAAATGAGGCTGGCCAGTTAGCTCAATTGGTTAGAGAGTGATGCTGATAACACCAAGGTCCAGTGTTCAATCCCTGTACCAGCCAGCTCCCCCATCTCCCACCAAAAAAAAAAAAGACAGCAAAAGCAATATTGACAGTGGTGGTGATACCGAAGGTCTACTGTATGTCTACGCCCAGTGTTTTGCACACATTATGTCTAATCTTCACAGTACACTTGCAAGAGAGGAATTGTTTTTACTGATGAGAAAGCAGGGTCATACAGGTCGGGGATTAACCGCAGGCCACACCATGGGTGAATGGCAGCACTGGGACTCAAAACCAGGTTATTCCAACCCTAATGCCAGGCCCTTCTTGCCACTCTGCATCTCAATTTGGACTCTGCAAATTCAAGATATCTCCACAATATTTGAGACATGCCTCTTCTCCTTCCGCTTTTAAAGACTGCTAATTCTCTGTAATGTGCCTCTAGCTGGCAGGAGTACTTGAAAGTTGGAGCTAATTCCCCCCTTGGTGTTAATGCTTCAGACTAAGGCCAGGTCCATTTTGTTCTAATCCCATGGTGCCTCCTCCTCTGAGGCTGGTGGATGGAACACGCTGCTAGAGTGAGTGAGGACCAACAGAAGGTCTATTGGTGGATAGGCACCCAGTTGCTGGTTCTATCTTCTGCAGTTTGGGCACATACTCTCCTAGCCCACTGTCACTGCCATAGTAATTACCTACACTGGCAGCAAGACAGTAAAAGGCTGGCCATGCTGTCAGGGGCAGTCTTGGTACCAGGGTAGCTGCAAAAGCATTAAGACATCATAAACACAGCCTGACTGCATGTACCTAGCAAAGTACAGAGTAGTTGTTGATAAATATTACATGAGTGATGCATGCAGAATGCAGCAAGAGGTGATGAGCACATGGTCTCTGAGAACATCAGAACTGGACAAAGGACTTGGTCTGTCAGGGACCTTAAATCAGAGGGAAAGACAATGTTTTAACAGGCAGATGCTCCACTTATCTGGCATGATGCCTTTTAATCTTCAAGTGACATTTGACTAAAACTTTTCAGCACAACGATGGTTTACAGAATGTCATGCTCTAAATACTCAGCCATCTAAAAGATAAAACAAATAAAAATAAGAAAAAAACTCCACTTCTTTAGAAAACACAAATTTTTACTAAGAAGTTTGCTGTACTTTTCACATATTCACTCTAGAGTTAAAGAGAGAAAGGAAAAAAAAAAAAAAAAACCCTCAATGAATTGAAAAACTTTCATATTATACAAAGTCTCCCAAAAAAGTAAAGTGAGTTACTGAAACATGAACTCAAAACAGTATGCTCTGACTCATTCTCAAGGAGATAAACAGTGAAAGCAGCCAGTTCTGGAGATGTGTTATTGACCAAAATCACTCAAAGGGAACCACAAAAATAGGATTCTTTCTTGAAAATCTTATTCTTTGGGCAGATTAGCATTGAAGGTGGCACGGAAAAACCTGCATGCATGTTTAATTCTTTGTTTCTTCTTCTTGCCTCCCTGCAACCCCCTCCCCCAACTCCTCCCCTCCTTCACGCAACCTCTTTTGTTCAGTATGTGTATACTTGAAGCTAATCTGTACTACTGGATATCTGACTGGAGCCACAGATACAGAATCTGTATTGTTCTTACTGACATGGAATTAACATTAAACTTAAATAAAACATAACTAAATTAAAAAGAAAATCTTATTCCTTGGGACAGTTACTTTTCCTGCTTTCAATGTGTCACACATCTGATGTTTTTTATTCATTTATCCAACCAATCAACAATTTACATATACAACAAACATCATCCATCCATTCTTTCATCCGCGATGCTTACTAAATGTCTGTCTCAGGAACTGTGCTATGTATTTTGTAAAACAAGACAGAATCTTCACCCTCTTCAAGCTCACCCTGTTATATACCAGTTTTATGTGGAGGTGATTTCCCTGTAAGCTTGAGACTTCCTACTAAAACATGTTAATCAGGCTGGCTGGTTAACTCAGTTGATTAGAGTGCAATGTTACAACACCAAGGTCAAGAGTTTGGATCCCTGTACTGGTCAGCCATCCCCCAAATTAAATATATCTCATATATCATACTGTTAATCTATCAGTATGATATATGAGAACCCAGAGGTTCTACCATCATTATTCTGTACCAACTCTTAGCAAATAAGCATCTACTGGATTTTCCTCTGTAAATTTCATTCTTTCCTTTTTTTTTTTTTTTTTAAACTTCATTCTTTAATCTAGAAGGTTTATTTTGCAAGCATGCCCAAAAGGGATGACACCTGCAATAATCTCTTCCTTAAATTTAATTTGGACTATGATAAAAGAGTAGGCTTGGGTCAATATTCTTCATGAAAGCCAAGGTGATGGAAGGGTCATAAAGGAGCCAAGATGATCTGTTTAAGGTCATCCAATTGTTTCCAATAATTTAGCTCCCAGCTGATGGACAAATGTTACAAACAACTCCCTAACCACCACGGTGAGGGAGTTTATCTGAGCACATTTGGAATTAGGATCACTTGAAAGGGGAAACAAATAACAATCCACTTTTCAGTGCTGGCCTTCACATGGCAATAATTTACCAGCATTCCTCCAAGTCCCAGCAGCTTTGCAGCTCTCGGCTTTTCATCTAGAAGCCAAGCTCTGGCTCAAAGCCACACCTCTAACGGATGAATCAGCAAAATGAATTGGCTGTCAACTGTGTCCTCCAGTGATTTCAGCTCGCCTGTCAGGAGCAGTATGTAGCAGACTGCTTGGTAATACTAACCTTTTCCAAGTTTGTCAAGGAAATGATTCAAGGCCATCTTTCAGTTCTGCCACTTTGTCAAAGCCACCGGGGAACCAAACATGTTGAGCGTCCTCCCTGGTTCCCTGTGGGTGAGTGAGAGCAGTTCCTCTCACAGAATAGTCTCATCCACTCATGGCTCCATTGTGCTTAGTCTGCTGTCTCTTGACACTATGCACACATTACAGCATTTCATCTTCACAACAACCCCACAAGCAAGGGATGTTCTAGTCACCATACAGATAAAAGAGATTGAACATCAGAGAAGTTAAACAGCTTGCCTGAGGTCTTACAGGTAATCAGCAAAGCTGGTTTGGAATCAAGACATGATATACGTACATATTTTTTACAACCTAATACTGCTATGTATCTGTTATGTATTTATATGTATTTTGCTTATTTTGGTTGTCAGTTACCATATAAAATGCTTCCTATATTAGAGGTTTTAAAGAATCACTTAAAATGTTTATTTTTTTTTTTTTAATTAAGAAATTTTCTTTATTGCTGAGCAAAATCACTACAACTAAGTCGATAGATACATTATGTTTATGGGCAAGAAGATGTAGATTAACATAAGACATAGATTCCTTCCTAACATGATCTATACATTTAAGTCAACACCAGCAAAAAAAATTCCAACATTTTAATTAAACATTTATAAATTTTTTATTTTTTTAAAGATGACTGGTAGGGGATCTTAACTATTGACTTGGTGTTGTCAGCATCACGCTCTTCCAAGTGAGCCACGGGCTGGCCCTAACATTGATAAATTAAAAATAAAAATTAAGGAAAAAAATCTCAACAGGAAACAGCAGTGGTTGTGAGGGACTGGGACAGGGTCTGGAAGAGGAAATTGACTACAAAGGGGATGAGAGGTTTTGGGGGGTGATGGAACTATCCTAAATCTTTTTTATTAGCATATTCATTATCACAAATCGTAATTATTCTTTATGCCCCTTACCCAATCTCTCCCCGACCCTCCTCTCCCACCTCTAGTAACCACAGATTTGCTCTCTCCTTCTGAAAGATCAATGCATTACTGTCGTCTCTTCTTTCTTTCTTCCTTCTTTTCCTTCCTTCCTTCTTTCTTAGCAGCCACTCATGAGTGAGGACATGTGGTATTTCCCTTTCTGTGCCTGGCTTATGTCACTTAACATAATTTTTTCCAAGTTCATTCATATTGCTGAAAATGGTATAATTTCATTTTTTTTTTTTAATGGCTGAGTAGTATTCCACTGAGTATAAAAATATGGAATGCTTCACGAGTTTGTGTGTCATCCTTGTGCAAGGGCCATTCTAATCTTCTCTGTATTGTTCCATTTTTAGTATATGTGCTGCTGAAGCGAGCACACCATCCTGAATCTTAACTGTGGTAGTGGTTACACAACTGCATGTGTTTACTGAGACATAGAACTGAACACCAAGACGGTCATTTTACTATATATGAATTATACCTTAATTGTTCTGTGGAACCTGAAAGATTCTAAAATTTAAAGAGAAAAACAAAAGGGCCAACAATGCCCTTAGACATTTCTGAAGAGGAACAGAAGGGGCGATTGCCTTGCTAATATAAAAAGCTTACTATAAAACCATAGTAATTAAGAAAGTGGAGTGATGGTGCAGAGATCAAATGACTAATGGTAAGAAGTAAGAGCCTAGAAAAAGACTTATGCATCTGTGAGACTTTGATTTTTGACAGAACAGCCTGGAAAAGGAAAAGCTGGAAAAAGTTTTTATCCACAGGGAAAAAATGAAATTGGATTCTTACTCACACCATGCTGACAAATCTACTCCAGATGGAT